TTCTTCTTCTTCTTCTTCTTCTTCTTCTTCTTCTTCTTCTTCTTCTTCTTCTTCTTCTTCTTCTTCTTCTTCTTCTTCTTGACTCCCAATTCTTTCAGTTGCTCTCACTTTCCACAACAACTCATACGAATTGACGGTCTTACATTACCACAACAAACAAACACGACACACGTACACAGCACAGCAGACGTTCAAACTCGTCTTCTTGTGACACGTTACAAACCGCCCCTTCCCCGTCATCAGCAGCGCAACAGCAAACACAAAGAAGCAGCACAATGTCTCGCAAGCTCACCGACGTTGACGAGTCCGGCGTGGACCGCAGGTTAGAGCTTGTGCATGCGTTTGTGTGCGTGCGTGTGTGTGTGTGTGCCTGTCTGTCTGTCTGTCTGTGCCCGTGTCTGTGTCTATCTGTGTGTCTGCGTGTACGCGTTTGGTGTTGAACAGGTGGTTTGCGCAGGCCGTGCTATTGGGCTGCACCTCAACATTGCCTCACTCTTGCCCCCTCTTAATCCACCCCCCCCCCACGTTTCCTGACCTCTCTCCTGCCTCAATTGCACCACACAACCAACGACCCAACAACCAACACCACCACAGCTACTACCATGGCACCATTTCCCGTGAGGAGGCTGTGCGCCGCCTTCAAAACGCAAACACAGACGGCGCCTTCCTGCTCCGCATGAGCGCAACACAGGCCGGCGCATACACCATCTCCCTGCAGTAAGACGCATGCTCCCTCTCACGCGCTTTGCTGAATCCTTTCACATGCTTGCTTTTTCCCGTTGGTCGCACGCTTGCCGCATACTTGCCACGAAGCGCTTTTCATACACTTCCATCTCACGACACCACCTGCCCTTGTTCTCTTTGTGCGTGTTTGTGTGTGCAGGTCCAATGGAGAGATTAAGCACATTCGCGTGAAGAGCACGGAGGAAGGCTTTAGCCTCGGCAAGAGCAAGGAGTTGTTTGCGTCCATCTGGGACCTGGTCGAGGCGCAGCTTGACAAGAGCCTCAAGAGCACAAAGGGCGACCAGGCCGTGCAACTTGTGTATCCGCTGCCCACCTCCAATGAGGCCATTGCGCCAGATGTCCTCGAGCACGCGGCAGATGCCGGCATGGACCCCATGATGTTTGGCGACGACGTCATGGCTTTTATGACCGGCGGCGTAAGTGCCGCTGTGTGTGTGTGTGTGTATTTGTGTGTATCTGCGTGTATCTGCGTATGTGTGTGTGTATTTGTGTGTGTATCTGCGTCAATGCCTGCGTGTTTGCTCCTTTGTATGTGTGCTCCTTCGTATTTGTGCTCCATTTCGCCTGTCTGCTCCCCCCCCTCTCCTGGCTCTGCTTTCAAAACAACATCCACTGACACTCACACCTCCTCCTTCTCATGTTCACTGCCGCGTCGTTGACCACAGATGTCCGCTGAGGAAGTTGCTGCGCGCCGCAAGAAGCAGCTTGAGGAGGGCGGCATTGCCAGCTTGGTCAAGGAGTGATGGTCACACAACAACACGCTTCATAAGTTCTGACTCTTCTTTCCCCTCCCCCTCATCTCCTTTTTTCTTTCCCTCCATATCTCTCCCCGTCCCTCCTTCCTTCCTTGCTCACTCTGTCCCTCTCCAATGCCAGCTTCTTGGCTCCCTCACACAGCGCATGTGCTCGTGTGACAAAAGAGTCCCTGCTTGCTTGCAGAACTCTCCTCGTGTTAATCCCCCTCCCTTCCCTTTTACTGTTTGATTGCCCTCCTTTTCGCTTCTCTGCTTCTTTCCCCTTTCTGTTTCGTCTTGCAGTGCAATTCGTTCTACTGCCCGTCTTAATCCCCACATGTGCATGTGCATGTGCGTCTGTGTGCTTGTGTCTGTGTCTGTGTCCGTCGTGTATGCGTGTGTGCGTGTGCGTGTTACGTGTGATTGATGGCTGCTCTATCGTGTGTGTGTGTGTGTGTGTGTGTGTGTGTGTGCATTTGTGTGCATTTGTGTGTGCATTTGTGTGTGCATGTGTGTGCATTTGTGTGTGTGGTGTATGTTTGCGTTTGCGTGCGTGCACCCCAAACCGACACTAAACCGATGACAACGACGCCGTTTCCATCCCACAAACACTGCAAAGAGAGAGGGGGCGCCACACACGTGCTGTCTCTTGCGGGATGTTGCGGTGTATTGCCTCAAACATGGCAATCAAGCAAGCAACCACCACTGGCAACGTGCACACATACACACATGCAGATGAGCGCATTCACGCGCGACAACTACAAGCAACCAAACACATACAAATGCATGCACGCACGCACGTGCGACTTGAAACAAGAGATGAATGCGATGATGCAAAGCTGTACTGCTTCCTGAACACAAATTAAAGGCAAAAGTGACACCCTCTGTCGACAGTCGACACTACAATCGCGCACACACACACATACACACACACACACACACGCACGCACGCACGCACGCTCTCTACATCTTCATACACCCTTCGTGTCAGAGATGTGCGGATCTGTTGGGGCGGCGTGGTGGCCGGGGTGCCCGCCCGGGTGGCTGTGGCAAGTGACGCAACCCATCACCATCACCATCACCACCACCACCGTTGCCACCACCGGACGATGGAGCCGTTGCACCGCCGCGACCGCTGGGGATGGCGGTGCCGGAGAGCGGGCGGAGCACAGGGAGGCGGCGGCCAGGCATGGACCGCAACCGACGCACGCGTGGGCCCTGTGGAAGGGTTGGTTGGTTGGTTGGTTGGTTGGTTGGTTGGTTGGTTGGTTGGTCGGGACGGGAGAAAGGGTGGACATGTGATGAGCACAAGGGATAGGGAAGTCAATGCATGACAATGTAACATTAAGAGTTGGTTGGAGAGAACACAACTGCACAGTATTCAAAACAAAGCCGTGATCACACACCACCACCACCATCGCCACCCTTGCCACTGCTACCACCCACCCACCGCAGAGGTCTGTGGGCGCTGCATCCCTGGCGGTGCTGGCCTCGCCCGCGCTCGCCCCGTCGCAGGCGGCTGCGGCTGTCGCCGTTGCATCTGCGTGTGTGTCTGTGAGAGTGCAGCGCTTGGCGGTGCGGGAACGCGGCGGGCGCGCGCTGGCCGGGCTGTCTCTGGCCGCCGCCTTTTGTGTGTGTGTGTGTGTGTGTGTGTGTGTGTGTGTGTGTGTGTGTGTGTGTGTGTGTGTGTGTGCTTGCTTGTGTGTGTGTGTGCGTGCGTGTGTGTGTGTGCGTGCGTGCGTGTGTGTTTGTGTGCGTGCGTGCGTGTGTGCGTGCGTGCGTGCGTGCGTGTGTGTGTGTGCGTGTTGTGTTATGTGTGTGTGTGTGTGCATGTACATGTTTGTTGAAGGTGAAAAAGTGTACAAAACCAACACGTGGGTGCTTCGTCGTTTGAACACGAGCTCACACAACGCAATCATGACAATGCAAACGCGCAAACGCGCACACAATGCAACCCTGCATGCAGTTTTGTGTACACCACCACGTCTGCCTTTCATCCCCCACCCCCTCATCAGCACCTTGGCGACGCAGTGTTGGACTTGGCCTGCTGCTCCTCCGCGTGTCTGTTCTTCGCCGCTGTTTCCTTCGCCTTCCGTGCCACATCTTCGGCAGATAACGCAGCAAACCTCTCCCGCCACGACCGCAGCTCGTCAAACACTTGCTCGCGCGTCATCTCTGCAAACGGGTCGTCCTCTTCCTCCTCTTCATCGAACAGCCCAACACTCATCATCAGCTCCTCCAGCGGCGTGCCATCAACGTCGCCCTACGCGCCGCGTGCATGTGTGAGCGTGCATGCATGTATGTATGTATGTATGTATGTATGTATGTATGTATGTATGTATGTATGTATGTATGTATGTATGTATGTATGTATGTATGTATGTATGTATGTATGTATGTATGTATGTATGTATGTATGTATGCATGCATGCATGTACGTATGTACGTGTGTGTGTGTATGTCGTGCGTGCATGAACTTACGTGAGTATGTGACAAAGAACCACCCAATTTTAACATCATGAATCGCTAAGCGACATCACCAACGTCAGCATCACCACCGTCCCCCCCCCCTCCGGCCGCCACTCCTGTGCTTCTGTCTTACATCAATGGACGTCTGCTTCCTGCGCGCAAGCAGCGCCTTGAGCGGGTTGCCTTGAAATGCAACAGCAGAGCCGTGCGTCAGGCTGCTGCTGCCGTCATTCGTGTCGCCATCCTCGTCATCATCATCAACACCGCCGACCCTGTTACAACAACACAAACACAACCACACCGACATATCGGCGATGCATGAGGTCAACGTGATGGTGGTGGTGATGGTGATCATGGTGGTGATGGTAATCATGGTGGTGGTGGTGGTGGTGGTGGTGGTGCATCGCATACAGAAGTGTGCAAAAGTGAAGAGCACTGATGTCCATCAGAAACTGCCAGAAAACAGAGAACCATGCACGCCTTCACATCACGCAACCACACATGCGTGCACGCCGTCCGCAATCATAAATGCTGTGTTGACTCACGATGACTCGCGGGCGAGGGCCGTGGACGCCGTGCGCGGCCGCACTGTTGGTGGTGGTGGTGGTGATGGGGATGACAATGAGATGGATGCCAGAGAAGGACAGCGCATACAGTCGATGCGCCTTCACACTCACAAGAAGCAGCTGGCTGCATATGCATGTGGACAAACCCCCACCCCCGCCCACACACACACACACACACGCGCGCGCGCGCGCTTTCAGATGCACACGGGCATGCACATCATCATCATCATCACCACCATCACCACCACCACTTTTACACACACCTGTGTGTTTGGTTGCCGGCCGCGCTGTTCCAGGGCGAACCGTTTCCCTGACGCTTGGATCTGGGGGGGGGCGGTTTCAGTCAAGTAGCACGTGAGCACGCGAGCATGCAGGGCACTAATTCCCAGACACGCACGCAAGCACACGTGCGTGCAAGCACATGCATGCGTACAAGCACATGCATGCGTGCGTGCAAGCAAACGCACAAGCAACGCACACATGGCAACGCATGCAAGAGTGAGAGGTGTGCTTGCAGGCACCTTGGGTGGTATCTGGGCGCTTCTTGAGCAGCGTTGGAATGAGGATTGAGGTTGCAGCATCTGTTGTCTCCTCAACAGCATCTCCTTTCGCCACATCGTCAAGCAGCGCCAACCTGCGCCGGCATTACGGACATGCATGTTGATGGTGAGAGAAAGTGTTTGTGAGTGCGTGTGTGTGTGTGTGTGTGTGTGTTTCGGGCAGAGACATATACGTGTGCATTGAGGATTGAGGTGGATTGGGCATGTATTGAACGCATGTTTCTTTGACAGTAAACCGAATGCACACACACACACACACACGTTCACACAATCTCACTCTCTCACTCACACACGCACGCAGCACCGTGGCTGCACCGTACGTTGGGATCATGTCAAAGACGGCCTGTCGATATGTGGCCTTAGACTGCACGTCAGGCATGATGCAAGCAAGCGTGAGACATGCAGACACCATGCTGCAACACGTGCCATGAAATGCGGATGGCTAAATGTTCTCCAAGTGGTTGTGTGCCCCTTTGCCTGCAGTTGTGCCCATGTGTGTGTCTGTCTGTGTGTATGTGTGTGCTCTGTCGTGATGTGACAGCGAGTGAATCATCTGTCAGGCAGTCTAGTTCGGTGGTCTCACCTTGTACGCTTTCAGTAGCGGGTTTCCGTCCAACGACAGACTTCGCAGCCGCGGCAACAGACTCAAGTACTCAACCTGTAGTTTATGTGTGCATGTGCATGGGCGCGCATGAGAGTACATAACCTTGTGGGCCTCTGTCTGTGTGTGTGCGTGCGTGCGTGCGTGTGTCTGTGTGAAACAACGATGATGACATAACCGCCTATGTTCGGGTGTTGATCCCACCTGCGCTGTGTCCCGGATGGAATTGCTGAAGGGAAACACCGAGACCAAAACCAAACAGTGGCGGCATTAGAACGATGCAACGACGTGACATGACACATGAGCACGCACCACGTCCCTCTCAACCACATGAACAGTAGTTTGTTGCAGCTATTGCTTTGGTGGTGGTCGTGGTAGTGGAGAGGTAGCAACTGCAGTGAGTGCTGCTGCTGTTGGTATTGTTGTGGCTATTGCTCTTGTTCTTCTCCGTGATATTGGTGTGCTGGGGTGTGCTGGCAGCAGGTGTCCATACCCTTCGAGGTCGAGGACCTCCAGCTGCTCCAGCATTGACAGCGGACTGCACTCCGACACATCGTTGAACGCAACGTACAGCTCCTGTGCACACATGAAGGCAGCGGGTTGAGGGTCGTATTGGGGCAAGTGTGTGCAGGCCACGGCGGTCTCCCGTGCAAACGCCTGCAACACAGTGAACGAAAGACAGCACCCCCACAACCACAACCACAAGTATAACCCCTACCACAAGCAAACACAACACAACACAACCGAAACAGTCACGCGGCGTCATACACGAAGCGAGGTCAGCATGCTGATGCCGCTGAGGTCCGACAGGTTGCACTTGGACATCCACAGCACTTGCAGGTTTGTTAGTGCCGTTCCAAGATCCCTTGCATCGTGCCGTGTTGGTGTGGTGAGCAAGCGGGCGTGCGGGCATACAAGGACAGTGGCCCAGCAGCTGTACATGCGTTGGCTGCCTTGCATTCAATTCTTGCGCTATCCATCCATTCCACGCGTCCGAATCAATTCACGTGCACAAATACATTGTATGCAGTCACGCGCATCGCACACCCTTCCGAAACATACCTGATTGTTGTGATGTTGCTGGAAACCATCTTCAACTCCTTCAAATTCGGCAATAGCTGGCCCAGTCGAGCCAGGCTACTTTCGCTCGTGTCCGCCTGTGCGTCGCGTGGCGCCGCAGTGTCGGATGTAAGAGGCGGGCAGTGAGCATGGTGGGACAGGGGAGAGGGTTACTCGGTTTGCATAGTGCAAGTGAGGCACATGAAACCTGCACACGTGCATACACACACGCACGCACCTGTAATTCGATATACTCGACGTCTTCCAGGTTGTCCTTGCCACTCGCTTCTCGCTGGTGACGTGACAAGCATACGCAGTGTGAGAATGTGTTGCGAGCATGTTGTGGGCTTGCTGCACCCATCTGTGCGAGTGTGTATGTTGCGAGATGGCAGGGTGGATTTGTTGTGGCCAGGCAATACTCACCAAGCAATCCTCCGTCACATATTCGGATATGGCTTGGACAAATGCCTGCTCCACATCATCATCGTCCATGTCGATGGACTGCAGCCGCTGCTGTTCCCGCTGTTGTTGCCGCTGCTGCCCCGGCTGTGATGCCGGCTTGGACGATACATAGTGTGTGGTTGACGACGAGATGCGAATTCGTGATGCGGTGGATGGTCGTGCTGTGTGTGTGTGTGTGTGTGTGTGTGTGTGTGTGCGTGCGTGTGTGTGTGTGTGCGTGTGTGTGTGTGTGCGCGTGTGTGTGTGTGTGTGTGTGTGTGTGTGTGTGTGGATGTGAGTGGGTGTGGTGTGCGTGTGTGTGTAGGTACGTGGGTGTATGTGTATGTGTGTGTGTTTGGGTGAGAGGATGTGTGTGTGTGTTGGGTGAGAGGATATGTGTGTGTGTGTGTTGGGTGAGAGGGTGCGTGTATGTGTGTGTGTGCGTGCGTGCGTGTGTGTTGGATGAGAGGGGGAAGCATAGCTGTATCAATGACGGCAGTTGCATTAACCACAGCAGCAATGAGGCAGCCAAAGCGTGTACCACGACACGCAACCACCACAGGCTACACATCACCACACCGCCTGTCGCACACACGGCCAAAGCGGACCTCACCTGTATTGGAGCGGGACATCATCCCCGCCAATCGCTACGTGCGTGGCAACCGCCGTCACTGGCAATCGCCAAGTCCACGGCGTTCGCGACGCTTTCTGCTGTTTTCCTGCTGCGTGTTCTTGAGCAACACCCTGTCGTCTGCGCCGTCCCAAGGTCACACGGTGACTCCACACGCGTGCGGTTCAAGAAGACACGGGGACGAAGGGGATGAAGGAGGGGACGGCAGGCAGCTTGGTCAAGCGCTGCTGCGCTGGTTGCTGCTGGTTGTTGGTTGGTTGTTGGTTGGTTGTTGTTGTTTGCCTTCTCCGCCATTGAAATTCGCCAGAAAATAATTGATTTTTATTCTGCAGAGACAGTTTCGCTTGGGCCCGTACCAAGGTGACAAGTGAAGTGTAGCCGAGGCGTCAAAGGAAGCGACGGTCACGGCAACATTGAGGGAGGAGATGGTAGTGAGGCCAAGCTGGATGGTGTACTCGACCTGGCACCAGGGGCCGTGCAGCAATGGAGGGATGGTGTTGGCAGCAAGGCGCAACGAGGGAAGGCGCACACACAGAGGGGAAGGACGGAAACAAAGGGCGGAGAGAGAGACACGCGCATGCACACACAGCACATACACACACAGAGGCACAGCACACAGACACGCAGCACACAGCACAGAGACATACACGACACCTTTTGCACAGCGTTGATGCAGCGTTGGGTGGATGCGTTGTAACGGATGGTGCAATCACCATCACATCCACCTGTAAAGGCAAAGCAAGGGCGGGAAAATGTCATGCGGGGTCATGTGAGGTCAGGTGAAGTCACAGACAATGAGACACTCATACACACACACACACCAAACACTCCTCACACACAACACCCACACCCACACCCACACCCACACCCACACCCACACCCACACACACCCACACACACACACACACACACACACACACACACACACACACACACCACACACAACACCACATCACTTCCCACTTCCTCCCTCCTCCTTCCCAAGGTCTCGACTGACTGTAAATGATTTGGATGTTGGTTGTGATGCCTGTGTATGTTGCAAGGACCGCGGCGTCTGTCGGGACCGGTACATCAAGGTCGCCACCAGGACTGCACATCGCCCGAACACGCTCGGCATCGTCTGCCGCTGGGATGATGCGGGTGCACGTGCCTGGCGCGGACGCAAAGACGCGCGTTGGATTGCGTGGTGCACCCCCCTTCCTGCAGCGTGTCGGCGGGAAAAGGCAGCGGTGTGAGCGTCGTGCTGTCCTGCGTGATGTACACGATCGCGCCATACGTGACGTAAAAGGGGAAAGGGTCTTGGCGTGGGATGGTGTTGCGTGGCGGGATGAAGATGGCCTCCTCCGGCGTGTACTGCAGCGTCTCGAGGCTGAAGGATATGGGGCGGGGGCGTGCAACGTCTGCGAATGCCTGGAACGCGGCGTCATTGAGCGGCGTGCGCGGCTCCCTGAACGAGATGCGGTCATTTGTGTTGTCGACCAGCACGCACGCGATGCTGCTGCCCTCTGCTGCTTGGATGGCCTGGTTCCTGCCCTCGTTGGTGACGAAGAAGTCATCGTACACGCACCTGCGCCAGGGCTTGATGTCTGGCGTGTTGCAGTAGGCAAAGCGCGCTTTCACCAGCGTCGTGCATGACGGATCACAGCAGCAATTTGCGTCGCACTCCGCCGTTATACTCAGCAAACGAGGCTGCGCATGGATGTCGGCTCCGCACCTGCGCAAACGCGGGTGTTCTTGTTGTTGTTCAAGTTGCTGACAGTGCACTTGTTAAGTTGCTGTTACTGCAGCTGTTGTGGTGGTCGTCGTCGGAAGAGTGATGGTGGTGGTGGTTGTTCTCGGCAGCTGCGGGTGCAGCCATGAGCACAGCAGCAGCAGCAGCAGCAGCAGCAGCAATAGCGACAAGAACAGCCACCACAGCACCTCTGCGGCACATCGATGCACGTCGAACCATGGCCGTGCCCATACAGAGACAAGACAGAGACAGACAGTCCGCCGACGACAGTTACGCCCACAGCAAAGCAGACAACTGCTGTTGCCGAGGAATCATGTATATCATCATCATTTTTTCGCCTGTGGTTTGCCATTTTCCCTCGCTCGATTTTCAAAAACGAAACACCACCAACATCAACTGCTACCACCGCCCGCGACAGACAACAGACATCGCAGACACTCAGATGACAGCCGGGCAGGCTTCG